TTGTAAAATATGATTGCCAACCATGATCCAGATTAAGGCAAGGAACGCTCGGCCGTATTGTCCCAGGCTATGCCTAACATGGTTTACATGTTGGTGCGAAAGAGCTCCATAGAGAAGCATCTCAATCCACATTGCCTCTATCAGCTCCCATTTATTGTGGCATTGATTCAATGTTTTGGCAAGGTATCTAACAAAATCTGGCAGATTCTCCATCGCAGTACTCGTCATATCCTCGGGACTTAGGTGAAAAAAAGAAAAGGAAAGTATAATTAAAAATATTGATTAGTGTAGTTGTGTTTGTTTATAAATAAATAAATAAACAAACCTGGATTCGGAAAGGTCCAGCAGTGACTCGAGCAAAGCTCTCATATTTGGTGCTTTAGGGTGACGGAGCTTATCATTGAGAAAAGCTCTCATATTTGGTGCTTTAGGGTGACAGAGCTTATCAATAGCATGTTCCAACCAGAAATTCCTACGATGCTCAAACTGTAGCATGGTGGGTCGCATGACCAGCAGGTACATCATATAATCTGATAAATATTTGCTCCTCTTCATGGCTTCATTGGGAGCATTATTGGGATGACAATCACCACACTCTTGATGGTAACAAATACTCGTCGCCAGGTCCCAGGCTATGATGCTAGTATCAAAGTCCACTTTGATGCTTAGTTGGAGTATATCATCAGACATTCCACAGTTACAGTACAGTTCCTCAAGCGTCTTCTCCCCCCTTGTTGCTTCAAAGAATTGATGATCATACTGAGAAAACAGAGTATGGAGCAGCGAATTGTGCTAATTGCATTGAATTTTATTACTATGGATGCTAATCATATATACAAACTGGTACCAATAATGACGCCTAGAAAGACACTACTATACAAGGAAAAAAATATATACATACTGTAAATAACTTTGCAATTGTAGTGCAGAGATTGATTTCCTCATTCTACACCATGATACTCTCCAATACTCCCCCTCAAGTTGGTGCATGAAGATCTTGAATGCCCAACTTGGATAGCAGAAAAGCAAGGCGCTCACGACCCAAAGCTTTTGTGAAAAGGTCTGCCGGTTGATGACGAGAGGATACATGAGCTGTGATCAATTCCTTCTTCTGAATATGCTCTTGAACAAAATGACAATCTATTTCAATGTGCTTAGTTCGTTCATGGAATACAAGATTGTTTGCAATGTGTAGGGCAGCTTGATTGTCACAGAAGAGAGTCATTGGTCTTGAATGGTTTATGCCGAGATTGAAAAGCAAAGATTTCAACCAAGTAAGCTCACTTACTGTGGAAGCCATAGCCATGTACTCTGTTTCAGCAGAGAAGCGTGAAACTATCGACTACTTCTTTGACTTCCAAGAGATTGGAGAGCCCCTAAGGCAAATATAGTACCCTATGGTGGAGTTGTGTGTACGAGGGCAACTTGCCCAATCAACATCGTAATATGCCACTGGCTACAACTTGCTTGAAGAAGATAATAAAATCCCCTGCCCCAGTGATCTCTTGATGTAACGAAAGACCTTCATGGCTGCCTCAAAATGTTCTTGCTTGGGATTTTGCATGAATTGAGCCAAAATACTCATAGAATAACAAATATCTGGTCGAGTGATTGTTAAATAAAGCCATCTCCCAACCAATCTCCTATATTGTGAAGGATCAGATGCCAAAGGTCCAGAAGCCAATGCAAGTCGATGATTTTGGTCCAAGGGAAAATGGCGGGGTTTCGCTCCAAGCAATCTTGCCTCTGTAAGGATATCAAGAGCATGTTTTCGCTGACTTAAAATGATGCCTTCAGTAGTTCGAGTGACCTCAACACCAAGGAACTACTTCAAAGGGCCTAAATCCTTTATGGAAAACTCTTTGTGTAGATAAGCCTTAAGAGCTGCAAGTTTCTCACCATCATTGCCTATAATCACTATGTCATCTACGTAGATTAAAACTGCAACAAACTTATTATCAGTAGAGGTGAGTAAAGAGTAATATACTTTTGATTGACAAAAACCAACTGCCAAAAGAGAATTTGTGAACTTCTCAAACCTGTTTCTTGAGGCTTGTCGCAGGCCATATAAAGACTTGCGCAATCTGCAAACTTTATTGTTTTGTTTGCAACTGAAACCTTGTGGTATCTGCATATATACTTCTTCATGTAAATCACCTTGTAAGAAGGCATTATTCACATCTAATTGGTGCAATTCCCATTGTTTAATGGATGCAAGAGCAAGCAACACTCTCACTATTACCATCTTTGCGACAATAGCAAAAGTCTCATGGAAGTCCAGTCCTTCAATTTGTGTGAAGCCTTTAGCCACCAACCTAGCTTTATACCATTCAACTGTCCCATCCGATTTGAATTTAACCTTGTATAACCACTTTGAATCAATTGCACGTTTCCCTGGAGGCAATGTCTCAATTGTCCAAGTACCATTCTTCTCAAGTGCAGTGATCTCATTCCTCATTGCTTCTCACCATTTTTCATGTTTGATGGCTTGAGAAAATGTTTTAGGCTCATCTATAGAAGATATAACTGCAAGAGAGGTTTGATGAGGGAGTGAAAAAGAATAGAAAGAATCTAGCCGATTTTGGTAAAATTCTTTTGGCTTTAAACAATCTGGAACATCCTCAAACTTGGTATACTTGAACTTATGGCAATTGTTAAAAATATCACTACTCTTTTCCAGAAAGCTATAAACCATGTACTTACTAGAATTCCAGCAATAATCCAACGAATCAAATTGTCCCATCAAACTTGACTAGCTCTTCTCTTGAGGTAAGATGGAAGGAAAGCATCGCAAGACAAACTGGAGAATCTTGCGTACCAAACAACTGTCATGGAATAACATCAAAATTACTGCCCAATCAGAAGAAAGCATTGAGAACACAGCACAAAATTCCAGTGCAACAGCTCCGACCAACATGCAGACTGTTCTGAAAATATCAACTCTTGAGAAATGGAATTCTGATTAGGAAGAGCAGCAGAACCACAAAGGAGCAAGTGAAGCTAATGAGGCGAAAGAAGCATCCTTTCTTGGTATAAATCAAAGCGGCTTTTGTGTAAATAACATCAAATATAAACCCTAGTCCTACAACAGCTACATTGAAATGAGTCAAATGACAATTGCTTTGCTTGCCGCTTTCAACTTTAACCAAGTACTCTGGCAAAGTAAACTTCACTTGACTGCTGCTGGAACCACCTTCCGCAGCTTCGCTTAGATAGACTTGCATTTTCCTTTTAAAGGTCGGGTAAAACTCCCTATGACATAGGAAATCATTGACATCCGGTCTAATCGTTGAAAACACTGCATAGCCTAGGAGGACCACTTTTGATTCTTGTTTTTCTTCTGATAGCTGACGCTCAAGGTTTTTAAAGACGGGGATGATCCACTGGGTTTTGTTAGTGTAAGTGAACTTAAGACACCAAATCCTCTCTACATATTTGATGACTCCAGCTATACTAAGAGGAAGTGTCAAAAGGGAAAGCCAGAATTGGGTCCATGACAAATAAATGACATAAAAGGCAAGAGAGGACTGGGCAACAAAGGTGAGGAGATGTCTGCTCCAGAGTTGTGTATCTTGAAAAGAAAAGGCAGTGATGGTGTCAGGGCCACCAAGATAAAGTATAAGTAAGGGAGCCCATAGTGCTCTTAGAACATTGGAGGTGGGAGATTCTGCATGAGAATTAGAAAGCTTACCAAGAGCAGCAATGGTGACCCAATCTTTGGTTTGGTAGGCAAACCAGAGAATCATTCTGTCAACAATGCTAACATTGCGCTTTCTGCCTTTTCCCAAGACAAAGAGAGCAATTTGTAAGAGCAGGCTCAGAAGAACGATCACCCTCACATCCCATGCATTCCATGTATTCCTCAAGAAAGTTGAAAATGTGCTTGTAATTGTTGGTGGTGGAGGTGATAGTAATGGTGCTGCTGCTGCCTTCCCACTGTTTATACGTGTATACTAATTAACGTGAGTACATAAATTAAAATAGTTGTCATAATTGATATTTATTATTATACAATTTACCGCACTTAATTACCTTCCAAACATTGCTGATGGTGCATGCATGCCCTTGGCAATATTGTTTAATAAACAGTTTGGACAAGTTTTTTCAGTTCTTTGTTTCTTTTGGAATGAGTGTTGATCGATGTTAAATATATATAGACAATCAAGTCAAAAGATAGTAAACACTATGTGCATGGAGTTAATTAGACCATACTTATGATGCACTTAAAGTATTAAACCATACTTATGATGCACTCAAAGTATTAAAACCATACTTATGATGCACTTAAAGTTAAAGTCAAGAATATAATTCTAGAGTTTCCTGTATAGAACTGGAAAATAAGAGTTATTAGATGGGGATAGACCCTAATATCCAAGGGTCCATCCCCATTAAATGGTAAATGTTGTGTAATTCAAAGTATATACCACTTTTTGATAATTCTATCACTCCAATGTTTTCCATATAGATTGAAAAGTGAAAACCTATTAATACTACTACTGATAAAGAAAATATGTTTTCATTCCAAACTACACAACTATTGTAAAAAATGTTGTTTGGGTTATGAAAGTACATATTTAATGACTCTTCCTTGTCATGATTCATTAAGAGTGTTTCAGTATTTTCATAATCTAGTTTTAGTTTGTGTCTGCGTTACAGACTAATAAAAATCCCAATCTCTAATGACAAACAATAATAATAGAGAAAATGAAAAATTAGGATGTTATGATGTCCAATCACAATTATAAAATATGTGAGTATAGTATGGGTCTCAATTATGTCTTATCTATCGATCATCTTACTGTAATTAGATATTGTAACATTTTAAATGCAAAGATATTTTGATTTTCTGGTTTTCTTTTTTTTTTTATATATAATAATATTCCAGAAGTTGACCTATATATGATCCAAAGCAGTTACAAATTCTCATTCTTTGCTTCAACATATGCACAACATTACAGTGTAATAATAGCTAATTTATGGGAAGAACTTTTTTTTTTCATCCTCCTTCTTTGTATATGTAACTTTTATTCTCTTCGCGTCACACATGCATGGAGTGTGTGCTTAAGTAACAGAGAAAGACGGGATCTGTGTAATTAAGTTTGTAAAGCTGCAAGTTACGTATTACGAATTAAAAGGCTATATAAATCAATTAGCTACTAGCTAGATTTTTTCATGTGTAAAGGGTTAATCTTTAAGCATGAAAAATGCCACTAAAGCATTGTATTGGGAAGGGAAACAGGGAAAGGTCTTGGAGCCATTGGGTCAGTAGCAGAGGCAGAGGACATTGGGTAAACTATTGCTAAAAAAATAAAATGGGCTAAATTTAATTTGAGCAATGCCACACGTTACATATATTGCGTGACTTAGTTAACATTGTTTTGGACACCGATAGATACACATTTTATTTTAATATATTGCACAATATATTTATTAAAAAATTATTATTTTTGGATTTAAAATTAAAAACAGACAAATTTAAAAATATAATCATGTACATAAAATATAATAATTAACTAAATCAACTGTACTTATATTATATTTTTAATGATTTAACAAAATGGATGTCCAAAATAATGTCGAACTGAATGTATATTAATTATTTTTCATTTGTTTTGTTATAAAAATAGAAATTATATTAAAACAATTAAATTGAGATTACATATAAATCCTTCAGACATCCAATAGCTAAAGCAAAAGTTTATCCTACAACAGTAATATAAACGAAAATTATGGCTATTCATAGATATAAATAATTAAATACAAAGAGTAATTTAGACACCTAGAGATTACAAATCAATTGCTGTGAAAGCATAAATAAAGCTATTACTATAGAAAGAAAGTTGCTATGAAAAGGTACGAATAAGTATGATGTATGGGTTTGGGGTACCCCTTGTACTCCGGGTATTAATAAATAATAATTTTAGCTGTTCAAAAAAAAAAAATAAAGAAGCATCTCAATCCACATTGTCTTTATCAGCTCCCATCTATTTAAGTTTTGGTTCAATTTTGTGGCCAGGTATCCTGCACATTTTGGCAGATTCTCCATCGCAGTCTGAGGACTTAAGTGGAAAAAAGAGAAGGTATGAATAAGCAAACCACAAGCAGAAATGGCAACCCAATCTTTGCTTGGTTAAGCAAATTAGAGAATTATTCAATTGAATAAGCTAACACTATACTTTCTATGCTTGCCCAAAACAAGGAGAATGATTTCTAAGTGCAGGCTCAGAAGAACCATCATTCTCACATCTGATGCTTTTCATGTCTACCGCACCAATGAGAATGATCTTGCAATCGATGCTGCATGCTATCTTCTCACTGTTTATTCACATGCATATACCAAGCAACGTCAAAACATGAATTAAAGTGATTGTTATAATTGATATTTATCTTTACACAATATTTTGGACGTACCTTCCAAACATTGGTGATGGTGCATGCATGCATGCCCTTGGCAATATTGTTTAATATATAGCATGGACAAGTGCTTTTAGTTTTGTTTTTGTTTTTTTTTTTTTTTTTTTTTTGTGGAATTGTTAAGATGTGAACATAATAATTCAAATCATATTCACACTTATTATATATATTTTTTATACTTTAAAATATTTTCTTTGTAAACACCTATAAATAGATCATTGTACATATAGTATTATTCAAGAAAGTAAGAAACCTTCTTCAAATATATCTTCTTCTTTTCTGTTTCTAACATGGTATGAAAGCTATAAGCTCCTAGTTCTTCTCTTTCATCATCACTGCTTGGTCTTTGAGTTGGATTTTCAGATCTATTCCAAATCTGAAACTTTGTCATTGGTTCTCTTCTCTTGCAAATTGGATTGTTTATTCTTAATTCTCAAACCCTTTCTAAGGTATTTTGTTGAGTTGTTATTTTGATATTGGCATCTATTTCTTTATACGTTTAGAGATTTTTCAGTATTATGAGTTCTACTGATTCTATGGCAAGTTTTGAAAGAATTGTGACTAACAATTGCCAAAGAAGTGATAGACCAACCTATTGTCAACCTTGAACCTCTAAAACATGTCATATTAAACCTTTTTAATGCTCCTACTACCTTATTTCACAATGTTCTCACAGAAAACAGTAATGATGTGGAGAGAGATTATGAGAGTGGGAATCTTTCAAGTATATATATATATCGGCAAAGTGCGCATCAGTCCTATCTCCCAAAAAAAATTGGAGTCCCAATTAAAACGACGTCGTTCTCTTAACCCCCCAGCCCCACCTTTTTTTTGCCTCTTCTGCAATCAGCTCCATCTCTATCTCCATCGCCTCCCATCTCCATCGACTCCTCTAATTCTTTCAATTTCATACTACAGTCACTTGCATGCTCCAATCCTCAAAATGCTAGTATTCTATAGCATGAACAAATAATTTACATAATTTACAAGGCACCAATTTAAGAATTTTATCATCAGATAGCTAAGAAAAGATGGCTCTGGCTACCAAATTTAATTGAATAAACAAACAACTCCTAAAAGCAACCTTCTCTTTTCCAAATTCAACAAGAAATTGGTGTAAGAAAATAAAAAAACTTTCTATCCCTGTTGTTGTTGGAGAGCAAAGAGGGTAAATCATTGAATTTTAGAAGGTCATTTCCTTCGATTCCTTCTTTGTTACCATCGACGGTGTGATTGTATCTGAAAAATTCGAGAGACTGATCATTAAAAAGAGACCCAACAAAAAAGAGAGAGATTTTTTCGATTTTTTTGGGTAGATAGAGCTTAGTAAGAAAACAAAGCATTTACTGTCCTTCGATCTCTTCTTTGTTACTGTTGATAGAGATGATGAATTGTAGTGGCAGAATCAATGGAGATGATGAATTGCAATGGCAAAATGGGGTTAAAATAGTGGGTGCTGGGGATTAAGCCAGTGGCATGGGATTGCATTTAAAAAATTGAAGGAATTGGAGGAGTCGATGGAGATGGGAGGCAATGGAGATGTAGAAGAGGCGAAAAGAAGTAGGGGTTACCATCGACGGAGATGATGAATTACAGTGGAATTAGAGGAATCGAAGGAGTCGATGGAGATGGGAGGCGATGGAGAAGGAATTGGAGGAGGTGATGGAGATGGGAGGCGATGGAGAAGTAATCGGAGGAGGTGATGGAGCTAATTGCAGAAGGGGCAAAAAGGAGGGGCTGGGGATTAAGAGAACAACATCATTTTAATTGGAACTCTAATTTTTTTTTTTGGGAGGTAGGACTAATGCGCACTTTGCCGTATATATATATTTAACATAAGTAATTTGTTACGATTAAAGGGAGTAGGGGTGACGGAGAAATGGAGAAAGGGTTGGTGGGACTATGTTCAAGTCCCACTGGTTGAATTTCACATTACCAGCGGCTATGCCACTGCTGCTATAACATGAATTTTCTTTTAGGTATATTTTTGAAAGCAGTTTATGTGGTACTTATTATGTTTGCTATTGTACCCTTTTTACTTCTCATACTAACAGTATCTCATATTTTGATCAATGGTATTGTGACCGGCATATTTTGTTGTATACGTTGGCTCCCTCTTTCTGAAAATTTTTGGTGCCTTCTCTAATTTTATGTTGGATTGTTATCCTTTGTTATTTATTTTGAATTATATTCTAAGTCAATTGTTGATTACTAGTTAGGTTAAAATTCTATTTTCATCCCTCTACTTTAGTAAAAAGTCTTTTTTTAGTCCTTCTACTTAAGAAAACTCCTTTCTAGTCTTTAAAAAAAAATTATTATCCGGGCTTTTTTAGTTTTTCTATTATTTTTTTGCATAAATGGTACATTAATTAGATGACAAAAATTCTAAAGTAAAAGTACTAAAAGTAGTTTTTTGTTAAAGTAGTTGAAAAAAAAAGGCTTTTTTTAATCTCCTTTTAGTCTATCTACTTTAAAATTTTTATCATTTAATGTGTCACGTGTATGAAAAAATAACAAAAAAATTAAAAAAGGGTAAGAAAGTAAGATTTAGGAATTAAAAAAGAGCTTTTTATTTTGATTAAAGTAGAAAAACTAAAATAAAGTTTTAACCTACTAGTTATCATCTGTGGTCATTAAATTTTAATGTATTGAAACATATGTACCTGTATAAAAAAAACTCGAATCTATGATTGTCCGATATTTATTTCATGTTCAAGAACTAGATTACACAAGAAACACTCCATCAAACGCCATAAAAAAAAAAAAAAAAAGAAGAAAAAACAAAAAGGAAAAAAGAAAAAAGAAAAAAGGATTACACAAGAAACAAAGATAGTAAATGCATCAAGACTGACTCACTTTATCAAAGACACAAGAACACTCATCACCTATAAATTCCCTGCGGTGAAGTCTGAGACCATAATGGCTACTCCTCCTTTATCACTTCTTGTATGACTCGGTAGCTTCCCATAACCCAGATTATGCTAAGGAATTCTCGTCCGTATTGTCCCAGCTGCCTAACATGGTTTACATGCCGGTACGTATGTGCTGCATAAAGAAGCATCTCAATCCACATTGCCTTTATCAGCTCCCATCTATTTCTGTATTGGTTCAATTTTGTGGCCAGGTATCCTGCATATTTTGGCAGATTCTCCATCGCAGTCTGGGGACTTAGGTGAGAAAAGGAGAAGGTATGTATAATTAAAAATAGGGCAATGATACGTTTATTCAATTTTTTGACACCCTCCAGTTACACCCAATCCTTTTCCATTATTCTTTCTGTTAATTACATTAACTCCGTAACCATCCTCTTCATCCATTATCTTCTTTCTCTTTTTTTTTCCTCTCTCTCTCCTCCATCATCGGGTTCCAAGAGAACCCAGATCGGTCTGGGTTCTCACCCTGGTTCTTCAGGAGAACCCAGGTGGGTTCTCAGAGCACCCAATCTGGTTTGTTCTCGGAGAACCCAATCTGGGTTCTCCAGACTGAGAGAGAGAAAAAAAAAAAAGAAGAAAGAAAGAGGAAGAAGATGGATGGTAATGGAGTTAAGTGTAATTAATGGAAATAACGGAAATTGAAGTGTATGTAACAGAGGGTGTGGATAAATTGGGTGCATGAATCAGCGTCCTTAAAAATATTAATTGGTGAATTTAATTATCTTTGATTACAAATAAATAGATAAACTAACCTGAATTCGGGCAGGTCTAGCAGCAGTGAATTGAAAGCAGCATTCTTATTA